GGTGCCTCATGGAGATGACGACCTCAAGATCCTCGAGGGCTGGCCGGCCGAGGATGATGTTGTGGGCGCAGTTGATGTTGACGACGACGAACTCCACTTCGAGCTTGGCTCTATGGAGGCCGTCGCCGAAGATGACCGGGAGGGTTATAACCCCCTCAGAATCAATGGTGTCGCCAGTGAAGCCGACAAGAGGGGTCTTGATGGGCCGAAGGGACCCCCTCTCCAGATGCAGCTCTCTGAAGGTGCTGAGGTACATTACATTGACGGAGCTGCCCGTGTCAATGTAAGTTCTGTGAATAATAGTGTCGTTGATCTCTGTGTGGATGACGAGGGCATCCCTGTGTGGGGAGGATACTGGGGGGAGATCAGCGTTGGTGAAGATAATGGGTTCCTCCCTCAGCCGCTTTACCGGGGGCATATGAGTGACTTCCCCCACGTAGAGTGATTGAGCCCACTTCTTTCGTTGACTTGTGGAGTCACCCCCGGTATTTCCCCCCGTGATCATGAGGATGTGGCGTTTCTTTTCTTGGTACCGGGGGTACTCCTCCTCCTCTTCTTCCAAGTTCCCGATCTCCCTCTTTTTGCCGAGGGGGATGGTGTTGGGTTGACCCATGCGTCTGATCTCGCCGTTTGCCCTCGGGGTGGCCCCTGCTGTGGGGGGGCCTGTTGCTGAGGGCCCCGGACAAACTGGGACAGATGGCCGGCTTGTATCAATCTCTCGATGGCCGTCTTCAGCTGATGGCAATCATCGGTCCTGTGCCCCTGGTGTCGGTGGAAACGACAATAGGGGTAGTTTGGATTGATGGCAAATACTTCCGAGGGCGCGCGTGAATCTCGCTCCACGAGGCCCCTCTCCTCAGCAAAATCTAGGATGACGCTGACGGGGTGCGTCAGTGGTGTCCGAGGGTGCTCCAGGAGGACAGGCTGTGCCCAAGCCCTCAGGTTCCCCTTGTAGCCTCCCCCGGGCTTGGCTTGGCCATGCCGAGGGCGATCACCGGAGGGGGCAGGGTCCCTGGGATGATTGCGGGGAGCCCCCGGCCCTCGGTTACATTTGTCTTCTGGCCGAGGGCGTTGCTGATCTGGGACATGGTGGCATTTCTCCACCTCCTCAGCCTCGGCGTACCGGTCCCCCCGCTGTAGGGCCCTTATATAATCGCGGGGGGGTTCGATGATGAGGCTTCTGGAGAAGTTCCCGGGGCGGAGTACTGTTTGTAGGAGGGCCAGGAGGGTCCCGTCGTCAGCGCTGTCAACTTTATCAGCCTCCGTCCTCCAGCGCTCCAGGAAGTCCCGAAGGGTCTCCTCCTTCTTCTGTCTCACCGTTAGCAAGTGGGAGAAGTGTTTTCTTGTGCGGCGCCTCCCGCAAATTGCGTCAAGAATCGTTGGGCGAGTTCTTGCCATGAGTCAATATAGCCCTCTGGCAATCGGTTGAACCACTCGTACGCCGGCCCCTCTAAGGTGGAGAGGAACCAGCGACACAAATATTCATCCGACGCCCCCACCATCATCATGCTGTTTTGATACCTGCTGTAGTGCTCTTGGGGTCATTTTTTCCGTCATAGGGCTTGATGAGCTGCCCTCGGTATTTCTCCGGGATCCGGGCCGCCAACACCCTTGGGGTAAATGGCGTCCGGGTCCGGAGCTGCATGGTGGGTTCCCCAGAGCCCTCGGCTATCTTCCTCTGCATTTCTTCCATCTTGGCCATCATTGCCTCATACTTGAGGTCTGTATGAGGGGCAGAAGTGGTGGCGTGGGCTTTGGTGGCCTCCATCTCGTCAAGCCGGCGCTGGAGGGCCGCAATGATTTCGTCCCGGGGGTTCTTCGGGGGGGCCTTCGCCCCCTGCGAATGGACCCGGGCCGAGTGGGCTTGATTGATTTGATGGCGTGCGTCGTTGGCCTGGAGAGATGCCTTGCCTTTGTCCTGTGGGGGACGCCTTTCATTGGCCCTGGAGACGGACCCGCCACTTTCCTGAGGCCTTTGGAACGCCTTCCCCCCGAGGCGGTCTTGGACCCCTCGGCGGTCTTGCGCCCCTCCGAGTCTCTCGAGGGCAGAGGTCCGGGGCTGCTCCTTGTTCACGTGGTGGCGGTCCCGAGACTGGACTTCCTGGGAGGCCGTATCTTGGGCCACGACCCCCTCGGAGTTTCCCATCCGGAGGACAGGGTTACCGAGGGGTCGTGGGTGAGGGGGAGGCATAATATTCTCCCCCACCTGAGGCTGGAGGGGAGCCAAAGTGCCGAAGGCACCCGGGTTCTGAGTGAGCGTCTGGATGAAGGCGGAGAGCGCCGATTGCACGTCTATGGTGATGACCGGAGGGCTAATTTGATTTTCGCTCCGGTCCTTCTTCTTGGCCTCGATGCCGAGGCAGGCATCGGGGGCATTTTGCTGAATCTGCTGACGTAGGTCGACAACCGTCTGGTCCAACCCGGCGATGACGCCGCCCCGGGGAGCCCTGTTGGAGGCTTCGGGGACGTCGACCTCGCCGAGGGCCAGGTTCCTGTCCTCTACATTCTTGGAGTTGGCACGAGTTGTTCTCACCATTTTAGATGGGTGTTTTTGTGTTTGGTCGAGGGGGAGGGTTTCTTACTTGATTGTTCGACCTCTCAACGAGAGCACCAAATGATGGATAGTGTACCCGGGGGGTAGCTTATCCGAGGGGTTATTACGGAGAATAATAAGAGAGAAGTCAGAGCAAGTAAATATAGAGAGAGAAAGTATATTGTAAAGTGTTCAACGTTTTCAGCGTGTTATGACTTGGTTACAAATGGGGAAATGAGGTGCTATTTATAGTAGCAATAAATGCCGGACAGGGACACGTGTCAAGCGTCCATTGGCCGAGAGGTCACCTCAACTGGTTGGCGCTGGCAACCGCATGTGGCCGCATTTAATGCGGCTGTTGGATGGGACGTTGTACAGGGTACGGTGATCTGTACACATGTGGCGCGGATATCAAATTGTTTATTTAATTTGACATAAGTATGGTGTTCATAATGCATGTGGCATTTTTCCCCAGTGAGTGGAGGTATTGGTGGCGCTGGAGTGGCAGAGGCAGCGTTTCATAATGCATGGTAAATTTGTACAAACACACATAATTAGTCTTATGAAACATAGTTTAGTTTTTACTCCTATTTGTGCACTCACGTATACTTTTATTCCTACAAAGGTAATTAACCCTTCTTTCTAACCTATTATAGTATTCATTTTATGTTAATGCCAACATTCTTGAACTGGAATGAGATTCGAATATGTGACCTCCTTTTTAGAGTGTCACAGAGATGCCATCAGAGGCGGTGATGCTTTTTTTACTTTTTTTTTATAAAATTATTATTTTATAATTTTTTTATTAATTCTTTATTATTTTTACGAATTTTTATTATTTTTTATGATTTTAATATGAATTAAAACATTTGAATAGCTACAAGGGTATAATTGTACAAACACACATAATTAGTCTTATGAAACATAGTTTTGTTTTTTACTCCTATTTGTGCATTGAGGTCTACTTCTAGTCCTATAAAGGTAGTTTAATTAACCCTTCTTTCTAATCTATTATAGTATTTGTTTTATGTTAAATATAACATACATATATAATAAACCACCAAAGGGGCTTGCTAAGATGTAAATTAATTGCTTATGCCTAAAATGTCTGGATGCATAATATTTACTCTTATTTAATTTTATTATTTCATATTGGTTTTCTAAAATATTTGTATGGAGCCATGGAGGGACAATAAGCGTGTCTGACATTTAGTGATTAGCGAATTGCCAATAGTGAATTCATGATGTCTTTACTTTAATTTATTTCAATCTCATATCGAATAAGACTAGACGAGATCACATTTAAGGAGTTATAATATACACAAAGATCACACATTTATCAAACAGTCTAGATCAATTCAGATCAAACTAAATCAACCAGATGAGAACACACCAAATCAAAAAAATGTCCAATTGAAAAACATCATCAGTCAGTGAGTTTGACTAGCAGAATAAGTTGGCGGTGATTAATAATTCGTATAGTTTTTCTTTAAACACTGCAGTGAGCCAGCGATTTATGTGTAACTTTTTTATTAATAATGTATTGAGTTTTGATAGAGGTACCCTATTTTTGGTACCCCATTTGTACCCCACTCAATGAGTGGTTCACAACAATCCAACACATTAAATTAATTGCTCCATTTTAATGAAATGTTTTTGTGAACTACAAACATAGAGGGTGGGGTACCATATGAGATACGCAAGGGGTTTAATGCATCAAACCTCCATGTGATATGGAAATTCGGCGCATTAGCCCCCTGTGATTTAAGACATGCGTCAAACTCCTTTGTGTTTTAATTTATCATGCACAGAATCCTTTTTATGAATAAATTCAATTGTCAAATAAAGGAAAAATGATTAACATTTTTGTATGATTTAGAGATTTGACACATTTACTTGCATATTCAATCAGAATATTAGGAAAAGTGGTTTGCAAATCGTTAAATTTATTCATAAAGGGGTTCTGTGCATGATTAATTAAAACATATGGGGGTTTGGCGCATTTTTTGCGCCGAATTTCCATATCACCGGGGGGTTTGGTGCATTAAACCCCCCATTTACGTAAGAGAGCTTCTTCTCGTACACACTTTTATACTCACCTTATACTCATCGTGTATGTAAGAAGTTTTTTTTGTTTGTGAATTCGATTCACAAACAAAAAATTTGCATAGACATATTTTGTCTGTGACCGGGATTCACGGACAAAAATTGTTCACAAAAATGGTGGGTACGAAAGTAAAAGTGAATATAAGAGCCGCTGTAAACTCTTTTTTTTGGGTAATGTATTTTCATTTTATGAATGAAAGAACTAATGATGACCACATGATGAAAAATGGCCTTGTCCCTGTTCAAAACCGTGACAATCATTATTATTACATCAAAATTGTAGATTCCTAGATTAGTGTTTCATTAAAAACACGAATAAAACGAACCGAACCGGCATTATAGCATTGAGTACGTGGCTTAGCCAACAAGAAAAATCTATAGCTTTGATTCTCTCTCTCTCTCTCTCTCTCTCTCCTTTGCATCAATTTCCTCTTTTAACGTCCAATCTTCTCCCTTTCCCCCTGAAAACGCTCCTTTCTTTTGTCTACCTAAGAAAACAGAGCCCCCACCTCTGTAACTAGCTTAGCTACCCCTCAATTCCACTGCATTATTTACAAGATCAATCCGACTCTGTTTTCATCACTTCATTTGATCGAATCGAAGTAGAGCTTTTTATGGAATCCGGATCCGGGCCATCCGACCTTGGCCGCGATGGGAATCCGCCGTCGCTCGATAGAGGCTGGCATGGGGGTGGAGGAGGTCATGCAGTCCCGGTTTCTGACGGGACTTCGCCGGTGGCCGCGCCGCCGAACCGGTACGAGTCGCAGAAGCGGCGAGATTGGGCTACATTTTTGCAGTACCTGCGGAACCATAAGCCGCCGCTGACGCTGCCGCGGTGCAGCGGAGCTCACGTGATCGAGTTCCTCCGGTACCTCGATCAGTTCGGGAAGACGAAGGTGCACGTGACCGGCTGCCCCCATTTCGGCAACCCGAACCCTCCCGCCGCCTGCGCCTGCCCGTTGAAGCAGGCCTGGGGCAGCCTCGACGCCCTCATCGGACGGCTCAGAGCCGCCTACGAAGAGAACGGTGGCCGGCCCGAGTCCAACCCGTTTGCTGCTGGAGCTGTGAGGATGTACTTGAGAGAGGTCAAAGATGGTCAAGGTAAGGCCAGAGGGTTCCCTTACGAGAAGAAACGGAAACGGTCGGCAGCCAAGGCGGCTGACGGCGGTAGCTGAAAAACAGAGACGCCGCCGCTGAGCTACGGCGGCGATTGTGGTGGCGCCTCTGTCCGTCTGCCAGCTGCTGCCACTGTGTCACTGCAACAGTGTAGTACATGCGGTGCTGTAAATACGGAGTAGTATTTATTTACCGCTCTAATTGAAATGTAAGTACGAGTATAATTTTACAGCTCTAAAGCTAATTTTCTTACCCGCGGTTAAAATTGTGATGAAATGATAACTGTGAAGTCAGAGTAAAACCTAGCACATACGAAGTATATGACATAATTCCATTGGAACCAATGCTGATTCTAAATTCTAATGTCTTATTTTCTGTCATTCACAAAATCCCGTTTTGGTTGATAAATAAAATTGGTTCATATATGCAAAAGAAGTTAAATTAATACGATTATATGAAGAGTTAATTATCAAAATAGGACTAAAAGTCATTCACTTTTCACAAATAGGATCAAAAAATGAACTATGTTTACATAGCTATTAACATGTTTTAATTCCTAATAAAATAATAAAAAATAATAAAAATTCGTAAAAAATACTAAAAAATTAAGAAAAACATTTCGATATTAAAAATTTAATTACTGTTTTTTTCAAAAAATTAAAAAAATTAAAAAAATAATAAAAAAATTAAAACTCAAAAAAAAAAATCGCCGCCGCCTCTGCCTCCTCAGCACCACCACCTCCAGTCACCAGGGGAAAAAATGCCAAGTTCATTATGAATGCCATATTTATGGCAAAAAAAATGAAAATGTTGGCATTCGAAAAGAGAAATATGTCACTTTTTTGGCATTTTCAGAAAAAAATGGCATTTTTCTGGGAAAATGACATTTTTTTCATCGACTGGAGGTGGTGGTGCTGGGAGGTAGTACAGGCGGTGGGAAAGGCATCCATATTTTTTAAAATTTTTTTTACGGAGTTTTACTATTTTTTATTAATTTTTTTAAAAATAAAATTATTTTAAAAAAAAAGTTTTTGAATTTTTTATTTTATAAAATTTTTATAAATTTTTTAATTATATTTCTACGAATTTTTGAATTTGTTTCGAATTTATTATGAATTAAACATTTAATTATGGCTTTTGACTATTTTTAATTCATATTTAATGGAAGGGTAAGAATGGAATGCAAAAATATGTGTGTTTCCAATAGGACTCATATGGTCCTATTTTGGAATAAAAACATAGTAAGTCCTATTTTAGATTTTTGCCATAATTTTAGTCCTATTTGAACTAATTTCTATTATATGAACTCATAATAATGACTTTAAACCGCATGAAACGTATGACATAATTTCACATTCATATGCACTAGAATCTCTCTTGTAATCCATTCTTATGTTTGATTTATTCTATTTTGTAATTATCTTTCATCTACTCCGTAATAGTTTTTGTTCCTTTGAGTACTATTATGCTAGTGACACTTTTAGTATTCGAATTTAAACTTTTTCACTTTTAGTTATACGACTATTGTACAAAAGATATATTTGATATTCGTCTTTGAAATGTTCCATATTAAGTTTTTCGACTTTTATAAAAGATTTGATCTTCAAGTATTAGTGAAGACTAAAAATTTCAATTTAACAATTCTCAGAGGACTAAAAGACTATAAGTGTCTTTCGCACATACTCGAATGACTAAAAATGAAAAAAAATAAATCGAATATAAAAAGTGTTACTAACAGTAATGAATGGATTAAAAGTGACTAAAACGCTTTCAAACAATCCTGACCCTTTCGCAAAAAATGGTTTCTTAATTAATGATTGTTTTATGGCCAACCCGAGAGTCCCAATTACACAAAACTAATTGCACCAGCATCCCAATCACACTACATTAAAATATTTTCCAAAACTTAAAAAAAAATCTAAAATTTGAATGAAATCACACTTTGTAGACGAAAATAAAAGGTGCTATAAGAATATTCCACCTTGATCCTAGAGCAACTGTTTTTTTCCCTAAATTCAGAATGAGTATATAGACCATACAACTAAGGGAAAAATAATTAAAGTAGCTGTGAGGTAGCACATCAAACTTGCATATGTAATTTAAATACCCCAAACTTTATATAAAAAGTTATTTTAGCATCATGATCTTGTATTTTTTTTCAAAAATGTTAATAATTGGTGTTAATTTCATAATTTAAAACATTTTAGCATTCATGAAGATACAATTAGCATTCTAAACTTTCAATGTAAAATAAATAGTATCCCCCCCAAAACGCTATAAAATTGCAATGTTTTCAATTTGCTCTTTTAAATTATGCAATTAACATCATAAATTTTTGAAATGATACATGAGCATGGTGTTACAATAACTTTTTACTCCGTATATAAAGTTTGAGATATTTAAATTACATATGAAAGTTTGGGGTGTTTATCTCATATCCCTTCAAAGTTCGGGTATTTTAATTATTACCCTACAACTAACAACCCAAATAGAACGAGATGGGGCTGGTGGTGGTAATTGCCTCACCCATCTTTAACTTTTTCCCCTTAGTGTACACTTTTTTCAAGTATTCTTAAGGTTGTTTGGAAGTGATTTACTTCTCTGCTTTTCTAAAGCAAAAGCAGAATCAAAATCACTTTTAGGAGTAAGTAGAGCACCAAAAGTACTTCTGCACTTTCATCCAAACATTCTAACTTCTACTTCTGTTCTCTGAAGGAGTAAAAACAATTTTAAAAATCAGATCCAAACACTCCTTTATTATTCTTAGTATTCCGTATATTTCAAGTGTATAAACTTAACAAAACTTGTATTTCACCTCCAAATATTTTGAAACACACATATATGTATGAATTTATTCGATTTATCAATTCAGTTCTATGTATGCTTTGGTCTGAAAATGCCAGCACTAAATCAAGAAAGTAAGCCCTTTTTTGCTAATATACTAGTTGTGTGTGTGTGTCTTGTTTTCCCTCATATGTAATCTCAACATAAGAGAAGAAGCAGTGAAAGCAATATTTCTATATACCTAAAGAGATTGTGTATTTATATTTGACATTTGAATATTTGTGACTCTGGGATAGACAAAATATGAATGTATTGAAAACATTTGTCACATCTACATTCTACATCTATTTTATTATGTTTAGGAATTTTTATATGCCAGGTCTCTATATATTTAGGTGGGACAAATTCGCATACCCCGCATGTGACATATGTGAGTAATGCGACAAATTCATCAAGGTTCCAATAAACATTGCATGATTGCATCCCTATAGTTAGAAGAAGAAGAAGAAAATACCACTTTATGTCTAGCAATTGCTTACCAGTTATATATATATATATATATATATATATATATATATATATATATATATATATATATATATATATATATATATATATATATATATATAATTAAACTTAAACTATAATATACATTAATATTTTTCACTTATCAAACTTTACCCAACTTTTATACTACCTCCGTTCCTATTTTATCTTCCAACCCACTTTGGCACACAATTTAAGAAAAGTGGGTATTGTGTGGTGGAAAGTTGTGCAGAGGAGAGAGAAATGTGTAAGAAATGTTGTGAACCACAAATTCTTTACCAAAAAAAGAAAGTGAAAATTTAATTGGAACGGATGAAAAAAGAAAATTGGAAGTTTATTTAGGAACGGAGGGAGTAATTAACAAACACTGACTTTCGATTAGGTAGTCTGCATTGATACTAAACAAATACGGAGTAAGTAACACGAACATTACTTTTTTGGAATTTGTTGAAAATAATATTTCTTGAATTTTTTTTGTTTCTTTTACTAACAAAATATATTTTAAATATAATTTTTTCATAATTTAGTACATTCAACCAATCCCGTGGTTTTGGTCAATAATTTTAACAATTTCTATAATTCAACAAATTAATCAATTTTATTATTACCAAATGGGCCGTTTATTTTACTAGAAATTACCTCATATAGTATTAGAAGATACCTAAAATGCACATATAAATTAAACTACGGAGTATATGTTATTTTATTCTCTAAATATGACTAGATTACCCCTTTCTTTTAATTAATACCTAGCCAGATAGATAGTTTCTTTTCTTCCTTCCACCTTCCATCTCCCTACCCTTGTACTAGTCATCACCGTCATGCCGCATACTCCATTTAGCGCCGCCACCGCTGCTGACTCCATTGCATGTCATCTTCGTTCAGGTTTCTTCTTCTTCTGAGTTGTGACATTGATTTTTCTGATTTTCCTTCTATTTCTCTGTTTTTATGAGTTCTGACATTGTTTTTATTAATTTCCGGACTTTTATTTCGTATTTTGGTTTCAAATTTCTTAGTTTTTTAAAAATTCAATTTTCATTTTTAGGATGGCATAAGAGTCTGCCAAGTTTTTGGCAGATTTGTGCACATTGACAATCTTTCATGGAAAAAAGTATTTTGTGAATCGATTTTTCTATTTTTTTCAATAGTTTCGTATTTCTGGTTTTCAATTGCATTACAGTGTTTGTTCCGTTTAAAATTTTTTTTTTCGAATATTTGATTGTTGACTTCATATTATGCTAAATTTATGGAAGTTTTGTGTTATTCTTTCAAAATAAATATGCTAAATCTGTGACAGTGGCGGTGGTGCTCGGAGGTGCAGTGGTGGTCTCGCGATAGTTTTGCTACAACGTGATGACAAGGATTAGAATGGGCCGCGGCGATGGCGAAGGATGGGCGGCAACAGAGGTAGTGCTGGTTGGGGCGAGGCCTTTGTGGGCAGCGACAAATGGTGGCCTCAGCAAAAAGACAGCGGCGACTATGGTTGGACTCGGGTCAGGCCACTCGGCCCGTGGACCGGTCCGGCCCGCTACTGTGCGGGACCGGGACCGGCCCGGTTCTCGGGTCCGGGTCGGGCCTAGGCCCGGGGGGCAGGGCGGGTCCGGGCTCCAATTTTTTGTCTTTTTGAATTAATTCCAACCCCTCACCTCAACCCCCCAAACAGCCCAGCCCTACCCACCTAGCAACCAGCCCAATGCCAAAAATTTAAAAAAAAATAATTGGGCCCTGATAGAATATTTATCTTAGGCCCAGATCGGGCCCAGCCCGGTTACCTAAAAAGAGAGCTCATAGCCCGCCTCAGTATATCCTGGGTCGTATCACTGGGCTTGGTCTCAGACCCAGTTGACTGGGGCGGGCCAGGACTACGCAGTACCAGTCCAAGGCTCCAAGCCGGGTCTCAAGTCAAGTCGGCCCATCCAGTCAACCAGTAGACGAGAGTGCTCCACTAGACGAGAGTGCTGCTTCTACATGTTGCGGCTCACATTTAGGTTTTTAAAAACATTTCAATTTTTATTTTTAATTATAAATTGAAATAAAATTTGATTAGGGGCATATATGTACAAATGAGTGGTTTAAAGTCCTATAAAATATAATTTCAATTTGAAGTCCAATTTAGGCAATTATCTAATTTTATCTCCTTAGAATCCATCTTGGTGTGGCTGTTTGACTACAGAAATAAAATTACAACGCTGAATTGAATGCTCAAAACTAGTGCTAATATCGAAAACATTGATCAATTGTGAGTGTGGTTAGACATGATCACAATATTCACGCGTGTTCACGAATACCATATTCATACAGTCATACTAGTGTACCTACTCCGATTGTAGAAACCGATGAAAACATTTTGACTCGAGACACAAATTCCAAACAACGTTTTTCAAGACGGGGCTTAAATTCAGGGCCTGTACATTATTCCGGACTTAAAGAGTCACGATCAGTTATGTTTATTGAGCCACAAACAACATCTTGACCCCCCCATGAGGGTTGTCCATTCCATATTGATACAACAGAGGTAATAATTATATGCATACTCTAAGAAAGATAGCCTTTGTTCTTTAAACTATCAACAGAGTCCTTGATAATCTGGTCCATCGGACTGAACTGTAGACCCAAATCCATAAGCTTTTTTGCTCCATCCTTGGCCCTCAACAGACCAGGTTGAGTGTCCTTGGGAAACCTTCACAAAAGCATCCAAACATCGCAGTAGCATCTCATATTTATGCTATATCATTCATTTTTTAATAGAAAAGGCAAAAACAGAACAATATGAAAACTATCGCTCCCTGTCCCTAAATAAACCCCCAATTTGACAAGGTAAGGAGGATCAAGTAAATGAAATTTCGTTGATGAATTTTTAGAGGTGAGAGATAATATGAACCACATAAATGATGGGGGTAATTTTGGGACGGGTAGACCAATGCGGGGCTGGGCCAAAAAGAAAAGTTTGCGAATTATTTAGGAAATGAGAATTATGGTTTGGACAAACAAGATAGTAATATTACATGAATCATGGCATTACATTACCTGGGTATGTTGTATTCAGGGTATAATTCAGCAACCTTAGCTGCAAAGTCACTATAATGACATATTGATTCAACACAAAGGTGCCTTCCTTTTGCTGAAGCAGCCTCGTAAACAAGTATATGTGCTAGGGCTACATCTTTGAAATGGACAGATCCCATGAAGTAATCTTCATGTGCATCAGTGCAACCTGAAATGGCAACAAAATGACCAAAAGTCCACAATGTAACAAGTTCAGAATAACATCAATCCTTGTTTGCATATAGGTTCAAAATTATGCACTTAAAGCACTTGCAAGTTCTAATGAAATGGTTGCTTGCGATTTACACAACGCAACGCATTGTAGTACACATTAAAAATGCTGCCCAAAAAAACTTCACTACAAAAGAAGAAAAGGTTCTTTGTTTAGAGCCCCTTTCGATAGGCTTAAAAGTTAAAATGGCTGAATCTCTGGCAGCAATGTATGTTATTCAGGACTTGATGTCATTTTCATTAATTTTATCCATTTGAGCCAAAATAAAAAGAATTTGTGAGTTTTTTTCATTACCATCTGATTCATCCATCGTACTGAAATAGGTTAATGTTTGGGGAAAATATGGTTGACAAGTCTATAAGCTGAAAAGATGCCTACAAAACGAGCAATTAAACTGCAGGATTAAAGTTAAGGATCTTAGATAAGGGATCAACAGTCAACAGTGGCAGAGAGAGACAGAGAGAGAGCATGTGTGTCTAACTGTCTATGTTGCCAGGTTGGTCATGCATGTGTGTGATGAAACGAAACTTATTGAGACAAATCTATAAGAATGAAGGGCACAACGTGGCATTTGTTGAGAACAAAGTGAGGAAAAACGATTTTTAGGCAGAGTGACGCTGATGCTTAGTCCTTAAGTAGCTGAATTACGGGATTATATAAATAATCCATGTGGAGTAGCACAACTGAATTTGCATTCAGGCTACATAGGCTATACCACTAGCATTAACCACTAAACAGGAAAGAGAAAAGATAAAGATGACAGAAATAGCATTTCATTTCTTGCGCTGGATTCACCAAGGTACGCCAGCTTTAAATTCTTGTAAGGTATAACTTTTGTGGGAGATTCTCCTAAATAAGAGTAAAACATGAGTGTTTTCCCTAAATAGGAGTGCTATGCTTTTCCCCTAAAGTCGTATTATTATGCTGACATCGTATTGACATCCTGATACTGCTATAATAGTGTGGTTTTAGGAGGGGAATATAGTACCCCTATTTAGGCAGAAAACCTATATTTTACTTCTATTTAGGGTAATTTCCACTTTATATACTCTCTATAATAACTCGTCAAACGTGCACATATTTTATGATTATTTATTTATTGGTTTAACAACCCTACCATAATTATTTCTCTTCATGACTCTTATTGGCAAATTACATAGGATATTAGTTTCATTTTATGAAACATGACATTTTTCTCATACGAAAAGAGTGTATGGTTCGATCTATTTTAAGCAATTGATGCTAAGTGCCAACGGTACCTTGAAGCAGGCGAAGAAGTATTATCATGCTTGCATTCAGTGTTGGGGCTATATAAGTACCCAACACAGTTCCAGGATTCACAACAACAACATCTAAATCTTTTTCCTTGGCAAACTCCCAAGCAGCCTTTTCTGCAAGTGTTTTTGAAAGCGGGTACCATCTCTACCGCAAATAAAGATTCAGATAAGTCCAACATAGTGGATGAATGCTCATATAAGTACAAGGCATTCTTTCAATAAGAAGAAATGTGTTGCAATTATGTTTAGACTATCATGAACTTTGTTACAGTCAGAAACACTGGCTGAACTGATTTTTGGACGAAAATATTCCTGTTTTGCCTCACAACTACTCCGTATTACATTATTTTCACTTCTGGTACCCCTACCCAAGTTACATACTTTTGAGTTTTGGTGCACAATTGTAAATTTATTGCAGTTTTTGGTCCTTTTGATCACATGTACAGCCAATTCCCAGTTGATTTCCCCGAGAGTGGCAGGAAATTTATAGTTAAAAATGTAATTCATAACCTATTTGCCTCTAGTAGAGAGGAGCCTAAACAAATCGCAAGGAACAACTAAAGGTAGAGACATTTACCCCTTTCTGTTTGCAGTATTCTACATCCGTCCAACAATCCTCATTCTTAACAACATCAGCCGGCCAATTAGCGCTAGGAACAATAGCCGAAATGGAAGAAGTCAGCACAACTCTCCGAACTCCGAGCTCTTTCGCAGCCGTCAGTACATTGATTGTACCTTTAATGGCCGGGTCCAGTAGCTCTTTCTGTCAATTAAACGGAGAGAACGCAATTAGTGTTCAGAGCTACTATTACTCTTTGTTTGGATGTAGAAAGGCTGAACTCACCTCGGGATCATGGACTTCATCTACAGTACAGGGTGAAGCAAGGTGGAAAACGCCGGTAGTGCCGGAAACGGCAGCTAAAATGGAATTGTAGTCAAGGAGATCGATTTGGAAAAGAGTGAGACGCGACTCGGCTCCTTCCATGGCCTCTAAATGCTTCGTCTCTTTCTCGTCGTCTTCGTATTTTAAAAGAAAAGAAAGGATAGGAATTCGAACGGAGTTAGATGGAAAAATGGTTGAAAACAGAAATAAAGAAGTCCGAAGAGGAGGGCAAAAGAAAGAGAAGCTCACTGAGATCTTTGACGGTAGCATGGACGGTGTAGCCACGCTCTAGGAGGAGGCGAACCAGCCAAGAACCGATGCCTCCGCTACCGCCGGTGACGCAGACCACTTCCCCTTTCTTCGCCATTTGGGAGTTGCTCCACAAGTGTTTCGGTGTTCGTCCCGAGCCGCAGTGTCACACTGTCACCAGATAAGATACGTACTCCACTCACTCCACAGTGCAATTGTATTGTAATTGTAATACATGTACATTTTTAAATATCAATATAAGATAAATTGTTTTAAATATGACTAAAAATATTCGTATATTTCAAAATATGACTATCATGTTTTCATTTGCTAAACAAAAGACATTATTGTCATGTTTTAGCTGTACAAAACTATAAACACCTTTGTAGCAATAGTTGCCGCTCTTACTTCATTACATTGATTTATAAACTTGGTTAACTCCTGAAATTTCATTAAGAAAAGAGATATACCCAATTGAGGTAACTAAAAAACATAGAAAGAAAGTTCAAGAGAAACATGCTCTCATTTTTTAATATCAATTGAGTAATATAAATTAAAGATATTCCCTGGGAAGAGACATTCTCTTAATCCACGAAATAAGAGTAAAAAAGTTTGAAAATTCTAAAACAGAATTTTCAAACTTTTTTACTCTTATTTCGTGGATTTTCCCTAAATATAATGGATGGATCAAAGAAGAACAATGAATTGAATTGCAATACAGACGTTGATCCCCCTGTCTCCGACAAGTGTATCGAACAATGTAGAATCATGTAACGAACAATGTTAACTCTAGTGGGACGAACAATGTTAAATTGGACGTCCAATTGATGTAGTGGTCAAGAGTGTGAGAGAGCAAGACTTTTATCATGCGGATAGAGGCGGGTTTAACTATTGGGCTAAAAGTTTTATCACAGTCCACCCCTACTTGTTGAGAGTTTCCATTGACAATAAGGCTGACTTTTATGTCATTCAAGTGTAAGGTATTATGTAGAGCGGGGAACGAGGGTACATGTGACTTTTTAAACATAAATACAGGTACGCGAATATTGGCGAGCAACAGGCTAAATGTAGAATAACTAACATTTCAAGTATAAGACCCAAACATAGGGTGATACATACGTTTATAACTTTCCGCAAGTCTTTGAAATTCATACAAGTATATATACGCTTGGAAAATACATGACCCGTAGGTCATTTGATCAAATCAATAAAATGATGGTGGACTTAGTCTTTGACTTTCCCCATATCCGACCCATTGTTTAGCTTCCCCGCTATAACCTAGGGTTCATTACCTTTATCGAGTGTTGATAGCCTTACTCAGCCACCGGGCCACTCTCCCGGTAGTAACAAGTTTTAGGCACTGCTAGGCCTTGGGTACTTCACCCCTAATATCCGAGTTTTGGGGACACCGCCTGGTCCCTGGGTACTCCACCCTTAATAACCGAGTTTTGAGGACACAGCTTGGTCCCTTGGTACTCCATCCGACACAATCGAGTTTTGAGGACACGGTCCGATCCCTGGGTCGTACTCCACTTGATATAACCAAGTTTTGAGGACACCGCTCGGTCCTTGGGTACTCCACCCGCACTTATGATGTACCATATACCTTACCCGATTATGGTCCATATATGATAAGTCCATTTTTGTACTTATTTTTCTTATCAAATTTAAGCGATTTTTGGATAGAAAATAGAAAAGCAAGGCATGTTTTAGATATTTTGGTACAATTTTCATGAAATCAGGTTAAAATCACATGCATAATATGTTTGGCAAAATTCCGGGTCAATTGAGCACAAAATGGGTCAATTTGAGTAACAAATGAATTCATGTCGGAAGAAGCAAACATTATATCAAAGTGGTCCAGAAGATAAACTTGAAGAGCAAATAATACAGAACAAACGAGATGAATTTACTTATAGGCGGTCAAGCAGGCGCCCAAAATGACAGCCCTTCCGACCGCCTATGCTATTTTTGGAAAGTCAAAAATGGTTTGACCGGAATCGGAAAAGATCGAAGGCTGCCGACATCGGACGGATGGCGTCCACCCTCGGTGACCGCTTGCGGCACAACGTGACGGAACCAACGACCGGCCAATGAGATTTGATGGAGGGCGGCCAGACAGAAACGGCAGGCGGCCGCCCTTGCGACCGCCTGCGGCGAAGCGACGCATGCCACGTTCGCTTGCCGGTGACGAGACGGCATGCACCCAAATTTGTACGAAGGGCGGCCTCCCTTCCGGCCGCCTGCGGTAAATTTTGTGCTATAAATAGCAGGCTTTTTGCTTCACTCAAACACACCATTACAAACCCTAATCCAGTTTGAAATCTTCCTTTTCTTCTGCTATTTCCGAGCTCCAAAAGCTAGTAGAGAGAGAAAGCTTCAATCCTCCATAACTTCTTCATTTTAGCTTCAAATTTTAAGTTCTATATATGCATTTTCATCCTCTCAACGTGTAGAATCTAAATCTGTAACTGGTTTTCGTGATATGTTCTTCGAATTTTTCCCGAATATTTATCAACTATTTCTTTTCCATCATTTGCAATGGAGCCAAAGCCTCACTATTTTTTGGGTTGGGAATATGATGGATTAAAGCAAATGGGATCACTAAATTGTCTGCACTTCTTTGTTATGAAGCATCAGTCAGTCAATGCAATTTTAACGTGATTTTCGCTATGGGTCATCCGGAAACAGTCTCTCTGTGCTTTAGTACATGGGTAAGACTGCATACATCCGACTCCGTTACCCCACCGTAGGTGGGAGCCTTTGCGGCAGTGGGGTAATGATAATGAATGAATATGATGGCATTATCAACTATTTCGCATTTTCTTCCAAAAATTAAATAAAATAGTTGCTGATGTTGAATCCATTCCAATTAGTTATATAGTAGTTTCCTAGCCTCAAGGTAGTTATTTATCTTAAGAAAGTTAATTTTAATGAAGTAGAAATATTGTTTTTTTTTAATTTCGGTAATAAGTTGTTATTATTGCATAAATTAAAATAAATACTCAAAAAATGCAATAAAATAGTTTCGGTCCTAATTCCAGTTTATTTAACTTTAATATCACTCCTAGTAGTCAATATAAAATTTAGAACGAATTTAGAATATTTTTAGTTGCTTTTTGCATTTTCTAGTTAATATAGGAAAAATTATCAATTAGTTGTTAAAATTGGATTTTAGGTTAGTAAATTCGAAACAAAATTCCAGGAAGTTATATTTTAGTTCCTACAAGTTTATTTTGGCAGAATATTGTTTTTTGAATTTTTTCTATCATACATGTTTAATTCCTTGTTAATGTTGAATTTATTCATTATATTGTTAAATGCAAAAATGATGTTTAGTAGCTAACTTTTTTGGGCATGATTTGACTAAAGGAATATGGATTGACTTGTTGACAAAAAATTAGTGATTAAAATTAATAATTTGGACTAGTTGTTTAAAATGATGAAATAGTAATTAATAATTGTTAGCCATTTTCATTAATTAAATTCTTGGAAAATTATTTCTAACTTGTCTAGGAGATAAGAAAATAATTTAAGCCATGCATATTCAAGCACATTAATAAGTCCTAGAAATAGGATATTTTAATGAAAGGGATTTACATCTTGTCTATGAGAATTAAATTCAATTGCTTAAATAATGAATTTAACTAGTTAATGAATTTGGCTATTTTTATTAGTTAAAATATTGGAGAATTATTTCTACCTTGTCTATGGGATTACAATTAATTTAAGCCAGCCATTTTAAACACATTATTGATACCTAGAAATAGGATAAATTAATGAAAATAGTTTCTATTCTTGTCTATGAGGAAAGAAATTATTAGTCCAATTTTAGTTTTAATTTCTCTAATTACTAGGTCCAAGAATATATCCATTTCTAATTGCTCAATTCATTGCCCTTATTTGCTTCAATCTTAGAACACTTGATCTTTAAACATTTATCTTTAAATTAAGCTTTGCTCCTAGTTATAATTTTGCAAATTGGCATAATTTAGAATACAATCACTTTCCTATATTGAAAAAGCTTCCAATGATTAGCAATAGCCCGTGACTAAAATCAAATTAAGAAACTCCTCCGTCATTCCTCAAGAGACACAATACTCGGGGGGAAACCGAAAGGTTAGACTCCGTTTTACTACAACACCGCGAAAGCGGGTTATCAAATGGCACCGTTGCCGGGGAATGGCATGGTAATTTCTTGATTTAGTTCTAGCATAAGTGAATTCTAGCGAGGGAGATTTTTTCGCCCTTGCGACAACTTGTATAAAGATTTCAGTCTAAATGAATGCACACCCGCTCTAAAGGAGTGGAAGGACTAATTGAACTTGACCCTGAACCTGAACGAACTTTGTGGAAAAATCTTTCAATCCACAAGAAACCAAACATGGCGGACCAAGAGACGTTGCTACAAAATCTCACGCCAAACTTCATCGAGGATGATAGCATCAGCGCACCGACAATTGAGGCAGTCAACTTCGAGATCAAACCCGCCATTATTAACATGATGTCCAATCATCAATTTGGCGAGTCCAAGCAAGACGATCCTAGGGCCCACATGTTGTGGTTCACACGAGCATGCCAAACATTCCGCTTCAACGGAGTGACCCCTGACGCCGTGAAGCTGACCTTATTTCCTTTCTCACTATGAGAGAGGGCATCTTTATGGATGGATAGCTTTCCAACGGGTCATTTGACAATATGGGCGACACTACACCAAGCATTTATGCAAGAATACTTTCCTCCATCGGCAGTTGCTAAAAATAAAACAACGATCCAAAATTTAGGCAATTCTCGATGGAGTCGTTGAATGAAGCGTGGGATCATTTCAAAGATATGAGAAACAAGTATCCACTCACACTAATGGACTCCAGCAGCTTGATGTTCCATTTTTATAATGGACTTCAAGTTAGTAGCAAAAAAGAACTTGATTTCTCTTCTCAGATGGGATCATTCCTTGACACGGCGCCTAACACCAATGAAGCTCTGGTGGAGAAGGTCACTTCAAATGCAAGATACTGGTATGACGAAAGAACTCCAGCAGCAACAAAACCAGGCTATCTTTAGTTGACCAACTCATGCTCTAACAGCGAAGATTGAAGGATTGGTCGTGGAAGTGAAGAATCTAAAGAGTAATAACAATCACACCAACCATGTCAACAACATCGGTGTTG